AGATTTCCCTAGGAATTTATATACATACTACTAGAGTCTCTGTTCCTCTCATGCTCAAATTTTAAAGATTTTATCATTTAATTGGTTACTCATATCTTCTTTTTCTAGTGTGTTTTAGAGAAACTCCCTTTCCTCACTGAATGTTGAGGATATTATTTGTTGTCACTGTTTTGCATGCATTTGGGGAAAGGGCGGAATAATTGGCAAGTTAGTAAAACACATAATAATGCCTTCAACTCTGATTGCCTTTCATTCTAACTAACAATAGTGATTTTGCCCACTATGATGCTGCTCAGATCTGTTCTTGTACAGAAATAAGTTTTAGATGATGAGAGAAAAATCACTTAATTGCTGCAGAATTAAGAAGGGCTTTCATGTTAATTCATTTTCATTAAAGTTCTTAAATTACAGTATCAGTCTCTCTGAAGCAATGACAAATCAACAATCAGACTTAAAATTGAACCACTGCCTAATTAAACCTTATCATTCATTGTCTTGCTTTATCATATAAAACAACTTATTATGACTATGTATCAGCTCTACAAACAGGCACAGGCTATTATTCAGAGATCACAATATCATAAAATGCATTGATCTCTGATACATGGGATTTTTATTTTACTTTGAATTAAGATCTGAGGAATAAATGATAAAAGATCCATTGGCATGGAAGGTGACACATTTATCCATGGATTGCTGCATGTAAATTTGGTAACGGAAAGACTTAAGAGGAAGGGTGATCTACATGCAGCATGAATGTTTCTTTACTTGTCTCTCTCCTCTCTCTGTCTCTTTCTCTCTTTGTATATGTATACATGTATCTTATGTCATTCTTTATTGTGGTATTAGTAGATCCTTAGTGTATACTCAATAACCAGAGAATATGTAGTTCTAGTTTTTATTATAAACAAAAGGTAATATTTTAAAAATTGACAATATACTTGGCCGCAATGTGAAAGCCAATAAGTAAAGAGATCAGTATCATCCAGACCATGTAGTCTACAATATAGTTCAATAAAAATCATGTGATGATTGAAAAAGCCCCTAATATATTAGAATACAAAAAGGAACTGAGTAAATCTTAAGAAAGTAGAATAAGCATAATAAACATTGCTGCAGTAGGAAGTGGAAAAGTAAAAATAACAATGGAAAATAAACCAACCAATACAGAGGCAAACAAGGTTTATTCGAAAGATTAGTAGAGTAGAAAAACTTCTGATTGGATGGATGGTAAAAAAAAAGAAAAAAAAAAACAAATGGCATGAGCAAACAATACTAGAAATAGAAAGGGAGAAATAGGCACACATATGGTAGAGATTTATAAAATGTGAGAGAAGCCTATGGGCAATGCATGACAATACAATTGAATATATAAATGATGGAATAGGTAATTTCCTAGGGAAGTATAACTTTTGAAAAAGTAACACAAAAGATATGAAGGTATAAGGATGGGTTAGAAAAAACCGTCATATGCAGAAAATATAATTTTATACATAAAAATTCAAAAGAATCTAGTGGTCATGTATTTAGCACCTTGATTGAATGTAAGGTCAAGATATTAAAGTTAGTAATGTTTCCAGGTGCCTGGGTGACTCAGTCGGCTAAGCACCTGCCTTTGGCTCAGGTCATGATCTCAGGGTCCTGGGATCAAGCCCAGCATCGGCTCCCTTCTCCGTGGGGAGTCTGCTTCTCCCTCTGCCTCTGCTCTGACCCCTGCTGTGCATTCTCTCTCACACACACACAAATAAATAAAATTTTGTTTTAAAGTTAGTAATGTTTCCATATAACATCAACTAAAATTTTAAAAAGTACTTAAAAATGAACACAATATAAAACTAATAAACTACTTAGAAAGAACTCTAACAAAATGTGTGCAAGTCTCTCTTGAAAGAAATCACAAAACCTTCTTGAAAGACACAAAATAAGACCCAAGTATAGGTGAATAGCATGCTCATAGATTACAACTAGTTCTCTCTGTGTAAAAAGGGTCAGGAAATATTTCTCAGAATAAGTGACATCTTAAATGTCTTTTAAAGGTGCTGAAGACTCTAGCTGAGGAGGACAGCAATGGGGAGGAAGGAATATTTGGGGCAGAGAAAACAGTATTTTTGCTGTGTCACAAGTAATCAGGCTGATGCATTTGGGAACAACAATTTGGTATTACCTGAGAATGAAATGGAAGAGGACATGAGTCAGTTAGAGTTGTAGTTAGAGAGGTAGATGAAAGTCATTCACACAAATCGTGTAGATAACTTTTCTGTACATAATAGTTCACTTAAATAAAACTTTTAATATAAAAGAGTATTTTTGAATTATGGAGGGAAAATGGTGAATCAAGATGTCAGGTGGCAGAAATGGATATGAAAAGTAAAGAGTTGGGGCCACATGGACAATCAAGATCAGACTTAACCCCAGCCTGCAAGTGAATTAGTTTCATCATAAAAGGTCACTTATCAAATTCAAGCACATTTCAAGCAAATTTTTGCCTCAACTGACTAGTACTTGAGTGAGTCACTGCCTCAAAATTAAACATTCTACTGTCAGTACCTAAATGCCAATACAGATTACATCCTCGCATACCTTGACTTGTCCACCAGGACTATTCCAACCTTGTCAGCTGTGATGCTGACACTGCACTTATTTTTTCCTATCTACTGTTTCTTCCCTTGACAGATTCCTAAAGGATGTATTATGTTCTTTAAGTGACTGTCTAGGTCTCTGCCACAGAATTCAGGGACAGCTTTCTTAGGTATAATTTTGTGAACGGACTAATGTCTCAAAATCTTTTGCTGTTTGTGTAACTTCTATCAATGGCTGATATATCATCATGTTCATCAAACCTTTTGTACTATACTAACTTTGCTTCACCATGTCTAGCACATCATTTTGCATAGATATTTCCAGAATATAGAGATCATAAGCACAGCAAAAACTCCCTAAGTAATATTCACAAGGACTTCTAAGAATGCTCGTGGACTTCTTTCTGAATCAAAGAAGTGTAACTTGCAATTCACTTTCTGGCAACAAATTTCTTGGTGTAAGAGGCCCACTAGGAGACTATTATAAAATAATGTGTTTCTTAGGAGTTTTGTGTTTATTATTTGGGGATGATTTTTTTTTCTAATCCTCTTGAAAAAAAAAAAAGATATTTATTTACTCAGAATACTCAGTTAAACCTGTCTGAAGACCAAGGGATGTGTTATTTTTGGCAACGTGATATCGCCCAGAATTGTAATTTGAAAATAGAATTTGATATGTGAATGTATTTAAATAGGTAAGCAGCGTAAGTACAGAAATATCTATCCACACAAATATGTGGCCTATAAGTCTATTCTTAAAATAAAGGTAGACAATGTCATCTTTCAATGGGTCTAAATCTAGCTGCCATTATCTCTAAGTCAACACAGGTACCTCTTAGAATTGTCTTTCAGAAAACCCTCTATGTGGTAAGTTAGACTGGTGTAAAAATATGTGTGTTCCTGTTTGTACTCTATTGTTTTCTTCAAATGAAATGTTCTCCTTTATTCAGATGCTACTGTGCCTCATTGAATTCCTCAAGCCATAGCCTTTATTGAACTATTCCCTAATAATAAAATAATATTGAAGTATAATTGATACATAAAGAACTACATGTATTTAATGTATACAACTTGATGACTTTGGACATATGTAAATACCAATGAAACCATCATCACAAACAAGATAATAGACATGTATCAAACCTCCTAGGATTTCCTTCTGTCCCCTTACTCTTTGTTTTTTTGTGATAAGAACAGTTAACATGAAAATTTGCCCCCTTAACAAATTTAGAGTTGCACAATATTGTATTGTTAACTATAGACACTATGTTGTAAAATGTAACTTACTCATCTAGCATAAATGAAATTTTATACCCATTGAAAAACAACTTCCGTTTGTCCTGTCTAGGCTTAGGTATCATTTCTTAGGGTAATTTTCCCTAACCACGCCAAATGGATTTATTTCAATAGTATACATGGCCTTCACTCTAATTGTTTATTTAATCATCCTTAATTCCTTATTTAATATCTAATGCATCTACTAGAATGTAAGTTTCATGAGGGCAGAGGTCTGTTTTCATGCCTATTCCTTTGGCACCAAACATATTACCTGAAAAGTAACACACACATGCGCACACACACACACACACACACACAAAGTTTAACCAACTTGCTTAAGAAGGGTCATGTTTTATATCCTAATAGTGCCTAGACATAATCCCTTTTGATTAATCCTTATTCTAATAAAATGAGGAGACGCATTCATTTGGAAGGAAATCAAGATTTATGAATATCTGAGGACATAGGAGACTCCCACAAACATTAAAAAGAAAATGTCATCCACAAGAATATCAACATCAGCATCAGCATTTAACAACATCACCACACATGTAAGTTTGGGCCAGAAATATAACAAATATTACTGAGCACTTATTATTTTCCAGCCACTGCTCAAGACATTTGAGATAGATAAATCCATGACCAAAACAGAAAATTCCTCCTATATAATAACAGAATTTACATCCTGAGGCAGGAGAAGATAGGCAATAACCATAATAAATAAGTAATTTCTGCAATACTGAGAAGATGGTCAGTACTATGGGGGAAATAGAGCAGAGTAAGGGGAATTGGGAGTTCAGTTCCAAGTAGGGTGAAAAGGTAGGTCTCATTGAACATGTGGAAAAAAATTTTACTCTGATTATGAGGAAAATAAATAGTGTAAAGGTAATAAAATGTTCTAACAAAAGATTAAATCAAATATCTGAATACAGAGAGGAAAAAAGGCCTGAGTGAGTCAGGGACTTTAGTGGAAGGGAGAGAGATTTTCACTTTGGTTTATAGTTTAAGATTTAACTTTTCAACAATATTAACTTTGAGTTACAATAAAATTGAATAAAAAGTATTATATCATTTACTAAGAGAAAACAAAGCATATTTTTAATTAGAAATTCAAGTTATTTGGAGATAAGATGAGAATCTTACCATTTTTACTGATGTCGAGTTCTTTAAGATTAACTAAACTAGCAATAGTGGTTGGCAGATTTGAAAGATCATTATCAGGAATACTTAGTTTTCTTAGAGCTTGACAGTTGAACAATTGCTGTAAGAGAAAATAATGATTAATTAGATCTCAATTTGGTTAAATCCATTCATACATAAACTCAGTAACAAAATCCAATTCACCGTCTTTATAAATGTGGTAATAAAATGGCCACCTCCCATTTCCATATTCTCAATTCTTTTTAGAATGCTTCACATACCATCTCCATGTTCATGCATCACTATTCTCTGCCATCCAAATTCAAAACACAAGGTATTCTATCTTCCCCTTCTGTTTACTATTAATGTAAAATTTGCCCAATCCTACTGATTTTTTTTCTTTCAAATACTATTTCTGGAGTTGTCACTTCCTTTCTATTCCCACAGCTACCACAATAACCCCAGTTCTCCTTCAAGTATCACTTCCATTTAATCAAGTTCAACAATTGTTTATATAACATTCAAGAACTGCAATACAGCTGAATATGTGGGCTTACATTTCTTTTGTGTCCCTCCAACACTGCTTCAAGACTCTCTAGCAAATGAAACACTTAACTTTTGATATTGTTTAAAAAAAAAATCACTAGCGATTGGTTCACTTCTACCATCAGTCCAAAGTGTTAAAATGGGGAAGAGTCAAGTGTTAAACCAATGGTTCTCAAATCCAGCATGGTTTTAATCATTGCTAAGTGGAGGTGTTTATTTAAAATGCGAATTCTTGGACTTGACCCAAAGAAGTATTGACGAGGCAGATCTGGGATGGGAGTCGAAATCTGCATTTTTAATCAAGCAGTCCAGTGATCTAATTATTTTGATATATGTGTTTCCAGTATTTTGGGGGAATACTTTTTGGGGAACAATATTAGATTTTTTAGCTATGTCAATCTTATTTTAAATGCCCAAGATATAAACAGTTGGGACAGAATTTCTTATTCATTTCTGGAAAAATTATCTTAATGGGATCTCTTCTATTTGACATTTCTAATTCTATTTTGCTAATTTCCCATAGATAAAGTGTCTGGATCTATGACTATGCAATTGGCTCACAGTACGTTTAACTGCTTGTTCTTTCATGTAATTCACTATTTATAGGCAAAAACAATGTAGTACATAGTTGTTATTTCTTAACTCGTTAGTTTTCTAAAAAGTAGATTGTGCTTATTGTTTATTAAGATAAAATATACAATTTCTTGCTTTTGATAAGCCATTTTGGCTCCTTACAAAGATTACTGTCAATACTTCACATAATGCTAGAATTTCAACATGCTATACAGAAGTGTTTTTACCTTTTTTTAAAAAAAAATAAAACCTAGAAAAGAGGACTTTGATGGATTTTTTCCACTAACTACTAACTTTCCCTTTAAAAAATAGAAAAATAGATGTCTATATTCATTGTAGACATTAATTTTTCTCAGTCTCTATAATTCTCTGAGAACCATTAGATCCACATGCAATGTGGTTAGTTATAGATTTATAGATTTTAAAAATTCAGTAGACTCGTGACTGATGTTGGTAAGACACACTAACAACTCTTTGATCTGATTACAATAGCAATTTTATACAAAATTCAGACAAATAATTTTCAAAACAGTTTTTTTTAAAATACAAGTTTAATCATCTCAGCTAAATTCTCAATTTTATTCAAGAATTAATTATAGGTCCTGGTTTTGTCAAAGATTAATTGACCCTATAGTTGTGGGTTCACTTTGGGGTGTTTTATTCTGTTCCATTGATTTATATGTCTGCTTTTGGGCCAATACTATACTGTCTTGAAGACTACAATTTGTAATATAACTGGAAGACCAGAATGGTGATGCTTCCACCTTTGCTCTTCTTTTTCAAGATTGCTTGGGCTTTTTAGGGTCTTTTGTGCCTCTATACAAATTTTAGGATTGTTTGTTCTAGCTCTGTGAAAAACGCTCTTGGTATTTTGACAGGGATTGCATTAAATGTGTAGATTGCTTTCAATAGTATAGACATTTTAAAAATATTTGTTCTTCCAATTCCTTAACAGTGAATGTTTTTCCATTTCATTGTGTCATTTTCAATTTCTTTCATCAATGTTTTACAGTCTTCAGAGTAGAGATCTTTTACCTTTTGGGTTAGGTTTATTCTGTGATAGCTTATGTTTTTTGTTGCAATTGTAAATGGGATCAATTCCTTGATTTCTCTTTCTGCTTCTTCATGATTGATGTATAGAAATATAACTGACTTTTGTATATTGATTTTGTATCCTGCGGCATTTCTGAATTGGTGTATCAGTTCTACCAATTTTTTGGTGGTGTCCTTTGGGTTTTCTTTCATGGAAAAAGTTTCTTCAACAAATGGTGTTGGGAAAACTGGACAGCAGCATGGAAAAAAATGAAACAGGACAACTTTCTTACACCATACACAAAAGTAAATAAATTCAAAATGGATTAAAGATCTAAATGTAAGACAGGGAACCATTAAAGTCCTAAAGGAGAACAGAGGCAATAACCTCTTTTACATTGGCCATAGCAACTTCTTATTATATATGTCTCCTGAGGCAAGGGAAACAAAAGCAATAATATACTATTGAGACTTTATCAAAATAAAAAGTTTCTGCACAGCAAAGGAAGGAATCAACAAAACTAAAAGGCAACCTTCAGAATGGGAGAAGATATTTGCAAATGACATTATGTGATAAAGGGTTTGTATCTAAAATATATTAAAAAAAAACTTAGTAAACTCAACAACCCAAAACTAAATGATCCAGTTAAAAAATGGACAGGAAAAAAAAATGGGCAGAAGGCATAGATAAACACTTTTCCCAAAGAAAACATTCAGATGGCTAACAGACACATGAAAAGATGACCAACATCACTCATCATCAGGGAAATATAAATCAAAACTACAATGTAATATAGCCTCACAGCAGTCAGAATGGCTAACAGCACAAGAAACACAGGTTTTGCAAGGATGTGGCAAAAGGGGAACCCTCTTGCACAATTGCTGGGAATGCAAACTGTACAACCACTCTGGAAAACAGTAGGAGGTTCCTCAAAAAGTTAAAAATATAACTACCCTAGGATCCAGCAATTGCACTACTAAGCATTTATCCAAATGATACAAAAATATTAATTTGAAGGGATACGTGCAACCTGATGTTTGCAGTAGCATTATCAACAATAGCCAAATTATAAAAAGAGCCCAAATGTCCTTTGATTGAAGAATGGATAAAGAAGATGCAATGTCTACACACACACACACACACACACACACACACACACACAATAATATTACCAGCCATCAAAAAGAATGAAATGAAATCTCGCCATTTGTAAATGATGTGGATGGAGCTGGAGACTATTATGCTAAGCAAAAGGTAAGTCAGTCAGAGAGAGACAAATACCATACGATTTCAGTCATGTGTGGAATTTAAGAAACAAAATAAATGAACATAGCACAGGGGAGGGAGAAGAGAGAGAGGGAAACCAAGAAACACACTCTTAATTATAGAGAACAAACTGATGGTTACTAGAAGGGAGGTAGGTGGGAGGATGGGTTAAATGGGTGATGAGTATTAAAGAAGGCACTTGTAATGAGCACTGGGTGTTGTATGTAACTGATGAATCACTGAATTCTATATCTGAAACTAATTTACACTGTATGTTAACTAGCTGGAACTTAAATAAAAACTTGGAAAAAATAAAATTAAGGAAAAAGAACTAATAGAGATCTCTATATTCTCCTCCAATATTATATTATTTTATTTTTTAAAAAAGATTTTATTTATTTACCTCGGAGAGTAAGAGTGTGAGCATAAGTTGAGGGGAGGGCAAGGGAGAGAGACAAATAGAATCCCCACTGGGTGGGGACCCTGATACGGCCTTGATCTCAGGATCCTGAGATCATGACCTTAGCCAAAGGCAGACACTTAACTGACTGAACCATCCAGGCACCCCAATTCTTCTCCAATTTTAAATTAAGTTATTCAGAAACAAAAGGTATAGAAACTCCTGAATACCCTATTACATGGATAATCTAAGACTCCTGTGGTATAGAGGCTAAGAGCATGACATTTGGAATCAGCTTGATGTGGATTCAATTCCCATGCATCTAGTTATTAGCTGCGTGATCTTGGGCAAGTTACCTAATGTCTCTGGACTTGTGAATTTCCTCACTTGTATAAATGGGAAAAATAACATTCTCTAACTTGAAGGGTGTTGAGATGATTAAATGAGTTATTTATTCATATTCAAATATTCACATTCAAATATCTCATCAGTTTTAAGTACTGCATTTTTTCACATATTAACATCTTTGATATTTGGAATGACTCTTATAATCAAGAGCAAGTTATAATTTGGGGGGTTCCTGGGTGGCTCAGTCAGTTAAGTGTTCAACTTTTGGTTTCATCTCAGGTCATGATCTCAGGATTGTGAGATCAAGCCCCAAATCCAGCTCTGTGCTCACCACAGAATTTGCTTGAGATTCTCTCTCTCCTCTTCCTCTCTCCCTCCTTGCACCCTCTCTCTAAATAAACGAATAAAATCTTCAAAAAAAAAAAAAAAAGAGCCATCAAAGATGGCTTTTAAGGAGTGTATCTTTTAAGGAATGTACACTTTTAAGGAGTGTATCTTCCTTAGTGGTACAATAATGACATGTCTTATAATCATTAACCTTGGATTAATGAAATGAATTACTTGTAAAAGTTTGGCACATAGAGCTAATAACTGTTGGCTATTCTGAATATTTATATACATAAACACAGAGGCACACCTATGCAGTAATCTTTTTCTTATTTTTCTTTTTAAAAAATATTTTTTAAATTTGACAGAGATAGAGACAGAAAGAGAACACAAGCAGGGAGAGTGGCAGGCAGAGGCAGAGGGAGAATCAGGCTCCCCACTGAGCAGAAAGCCCAATGCAGGTCTTGGTCCCAGGACCCCTGGGATCATGACCTGAGCTGAAGTCAGGCACTCAAGAGCCCCTATATCTTATTTTTCTAGATGATGAGGACTTCAAAGCTGGGAGTCAAGTCTAATTCATCTTGGCATTAACTTGTTTCACCTCTGCACATGCCAAAGTGGCTAGCAC